AAGCGCTATTCGGATTCCATCTCGTAATATGCCATGGATTTTGTTTCTCAATCGATACTAGCAGTGGAGACTTATCGCGTGTACGGATAATCGTCGATAGTGTTTTTACAAGAAAATTATACACATCAATTACACGTGTGTGTGCGCGAAACAAACGATTAATCCTTCACCAGTGTCTCGAAGGGAAAAAAAAAAGAGTTGTACTTAACGTGTGATCGGTAGTTATACACCCGAAGATGCACTGCAACAACGCTGTGGATTATTATTTTTTTCTTACCATTCATATGAGTGTGTAAATGTACGCGTGTCGAGAAGATGCAAAGAAACATCCAATTCCATCGATCGGCAGTACAAAAGTATGCCGAAATAAATTTCAACACGAAGTCATTTTCCACAAACGCATGCACGTAACCCAATAGCCTTTGCGAGAAGAATTCCACGGCTAGTGTACCTGTACCAAGTGTATAGGGAGAGAAACACATTTTATAGCCTCGGCGGGCTGCGATGTCGCCAGCGCGAGAAATCGAAAAATTAAGAAAACAAGCGTCCCATACATATATATATATACACTCCCCCGATACGCGCGGATACACGCGGTGCTGAGTAAACTCCCCCTCGCTGCCGATACATCCATACACCGCGCTCCTTACGGATCCCCATCGTGAGATCTCGAGCCTATATGTTGTATACTATACGGGACTAAAAGTGCCAGCTATCTGGCTGGCGGCTATTGCGGAATTGCGCGGTGAATTATTGCGGCAATTGTGCGCGCATTGAAACGCGCGAGCTGCACGAGACAGCCTCCCCCCCCCCCCCCCCCCCCCCCCCCCCCCCCGCCAACCCTTCGTTATAACTGTTATACAGACAACTCGGTGGCTGTGGCCGCAGTCTTGGATATTTTGCGCAACTTTTGGTACATAAATGTATAGAGACTTACAAAAAATGTACATATAGCAGAACCGGCGAGTAAACCGATTTTGTACATGTAAAATCGTTGCAAATGATAAATAAAAAGAGCCACGTAGAGCGATCGGTACAGCCCGAAAATCGTTTCTATTGGCGTTGGAATAAAAACTTGACCCACTGACAGAGAGAGCGAGGGAGACGTTTGGTCATCAAATGGTTCAATGGCGTTATAATATAGCCCCGAGCGATGACGTGTGTATGGATTACGAGAAACGAAATGATATTCGTATACCAACGAGTCGAATAAGCTCGTGTCTATATCCTACATCGTAAATCTAAGCCCACCTTTCTCCGGTTCTTCGATCCTTCCTCTGCCCATTGGCGTCTACACGTATATCTCTTTTATTGTTGTTCGTAAAGACGCGCATACAAATATAAATATGTATACATAGAGGGTTGTGTGAATCAACACACGGAGGGCCCCTCTCGATGTATAGTGAAAGCGCCGCATTAATTCGGACATGAAAAAACCGAGAGTCTTCATTTATGTATCGCCTCGAGCTGTACCTGCGCGACGTTTATCGTTTGTTTGTTTTGGATATGTAAATATATATACTACAAAGGAGATGAGGCACGATATTGGTGGTCCAATACAATGTATACTTGCGCCGCTCAAACAACTACCCGAGAATTCTGCATTTATGCGAAAAATGCGCGTGGGTGTATGGACGTGAGACGCACAATCGAGTCCGAAAGATTATTGTAGGGTCAATCGGTATAAATAAATAATATACTATCATGACTTTTCACTCGCACGGTACACACAATAATCGCGTTCGTAAAGTTAATCTTCGAGCCTACATGGGCTATCATTTTCCTCTTTGCCCGCGTATGCGCCCTCGTTTTTGCTAATAATGATCGTTATACCCATACAGGGGTGGGGGCCCACGGGATTAAGAAACGCGCGAATCAATTTCTTTGAAGTGGTATGTATACCGGGCGATCGGTTGCGTTAATAAATGTACGCGGGGAGATTGAAAAAACATAGCATACTTATTGAAACACATATAGTACAGGTAATGCAATTGGCTCGCGAAATCCACGCGAGTAGCTTTTTGCGTATAGAGGTGTATCGGACGCGTTAAACAAAATCAAGAGTCGAGAGAGAGAGAGTTAGAGAGCTTGCAGTTTCAGGAGTAAGCTGGAAAAAAAAAAAAAAAAAAAAAAAAAAAAAAATCCAAATCGAGTCGCGCACAAGTTAACGTAATACTCGAAGAGAGTAGACAAGTTGGTGCGGTTGTTGTATGCGCTCTTACGTATTGTACACCCGTAAAAGTACCCACGTTACGTGCATATCGGCAAAGGAACGTCAGAAGCGCAGCAACAAGCATAATATCAGACACAACCGTGGTAACGAAAAAAAAAGGGGAGGGATGAACACTTTCACCTGAAAACTCGGAGCTTCAACGAGCTCGAAGCCGCTGCCTTATAATCTCTCTGTGAATCTTCCCAACTGTCGTATACCTATGGATAATATATACCGAAGCTATGTGTATATTAGCGCGATTTTTTTTTTCTTCTTTTTTTGTCAAACTGTGTATACCCAGTAGTCGGAAGCTATTAGTCCTCTCGGATTGGGTAACACACCTTTCACGCGTTATATACATATACACATATATACATAACGGGCACGTGTTAAGTACATTTACTCGTGTACACGTACTCGACGTGGGGCTCGTTAGCATTACTCTCACGCATTTGACGTCTGAGATTTTTTTACTTCATTAAAGCTAAAAAAAAAAAAAAAAGTATTTGTTGCGAGGAATGGATAAATATCCTAATTGTAGGTCACCTCCGCGCGCCATAATTGTGCGATTATACGCGTATTTTTCAACAAAGTCTTGGAAGCTAATGTTTCAACACGCGCCGCTTACGCCTACCTCCGCCTAATTATACATGAGTGCATATGTATATACTTACATAAAAGAATGATACAAAAGTGTATGTCTACGCGACAAAAGGCGAGGTTTCCTTCTATTCCGGGGGAATCTAGGCTAATAAACTGTGTCAATCACGCCGCGTTAGAGGGGCTTAATGGCGAGAAAGTTCTTGCAACGTTTGGTGCTCGACGCCGACCTTTTTTTTTTTTTTTGGTGTATGTCTCGAAATAATAATCACAACAATTCGGCTGCACGCGTCGACTTTATCTATATATGATTTCTCCAAAAAACTCGATCGTTTTGTCAAATAGAGAGTTTAAAAGTGGGACTGATCACGCATCCGATTTAGTTTAGTTTTCGCTTTGAATCGATTTTTTTTTTTTTAACAAGCGGTGAAATTTTCATCCGGCCGTTGTAATACGCCTCGAAACGAGAACGATTTATCGATTACTTTTTTCGAAAAGGAAACTTTCTCCCGACGCTCTTTTTTTTTTCCTCCACTCGCTTCCTTTGTCAGTCTATCCATTTTTTTTTTTTTTTTATTATTCACGCGTGTAAGAGAGAAATCGGCGTCTTCGCGATACTGTACCCGTGTTAAAAAAACGCGATTACAGCATTGGTAAATCAAAGGGAGAGGAAAAACCTGGGTTGCCCGACTTTACGAGGCAAAAGTAAAAATACTGCTCCCCTGCAGTCCATGTTACACACGCAAAGGGTAGATAATTGTTTCGTACACCGCGCAAAGAGTCAAAACCTCAGGCGCATGCCTCCGGGAAATTTTTCCAGCCTCGGGCGAAAACACGTCCCTCACCGCGTAACAGTCTTGCGGCTTGACGAGCCGGCAAAAAACGTTTGGAAAGCCACCGGGCGAGCGATCGGTCGGGTTCGAGTGAACCGATTTCCGGATGAAGGGGTACATCCGGAAGAACCGCGAGCGATGCTTCGGTAACGAGGAAGTGCGGGTGTATACTTTCTTCGCGGCGTCGGTCGCGCGTGCAGAGATGGGATACTGAAAAAATCGGTAGCTGTTTTCCTTAACAAATTCCTTTTTTGTTTTCTTTTTTCAGAGATCGGTTGGTCACGACAAACTCCGGATATACAGGTTGCCGAACTCTCCCACCGTAATGGATAAAACCTGATGTTGGAAATTTAAAAACGAAAAAAAAAAAGAAAAAAGGACTTACTTGGGGGTGGAGTCGTCGTGAAGTATAGCTGAAGGGTGTGCAAAGGTATCTCGAACTCGAAGATCGGCAAGCGAAAGAAAAGAAGAGAAAGAAAAAAAAAGAAATTAGGTTCGTGTACAGTGTTCCGAGAAAGCGAGGCACATTACTCGATCGGCCGCCTCGAAGTGACTGGACGCTCGCGGCTGCGGTGTGTAGGGCCCGACCGCGGGGGCCCCCGTTCACTCGCAGCTTCTCCGAGCGGCTTTCACTTTACTCGCCGACTCGGGGAGCGGGCGAGAGCCGCGGCCGCAAGTTTTCTTTCTTTCTTTCCTCTCCTGCTTAACTTTCTGCTCCCCCCTCGCGGACTTGCATGGCTCACCCGAGGAATTTTCTGCAACGCGCCCCTCCACGGGTCCTTCTCGAGGTTCGGCTGATCGGTTTGTTGTCTTCCTCATCGATTCCGTCCCTCTGGTGAATTTACATTCGGATGCATGAAATGCGTGACTTTTTTTACGCCACCATGTCTTTTTTTGATAATGAGGTAGTTGGCTAGTTTTTACGGGTATTTTTACTTTTTTTTTTTTTTTTTTTTCATTTGTCTTCAAACACTTTTGACAAACATTCGCACGAGTGGAAATTTTGTACATCATCCGACGAAAGCCAAGGTCAAATAATAAATTTTACTATTTGATGGGAATGTTCGGTGAAACGTAGTTTTTAAACGACAAAGGAAAAATAATAAAAATCCATGTTTATAAAGTTACCTGTTTATATTTCAAAGTGGATTGCGCGCGCTCATACACAGACATCTATTGGGTTAAATGTGAATCAACAACTGTTTTGGTGGCTGTCAAAAACAGACGACTAAAATTCAAGCGGAACAGAAAAAAAATATACACCGTCGTCACGTGTGTAATTTAGTTTATTTACAAAAAAAAATAACAATAATAATAATAGTAACGTTTTTAAGAATTATAAGTTGCAACTCCATTGTAGAAAAAAAAAATTACGCAAACTTTGAAGTAATTGTTTGAAACAACATTTTCTTAACCAGTGTTTGGGACAGATATACTTGTAACCTCCGTTGAAGACGTTCGAAAAATATTATTGAAGAAAAATTTGTATACAAAAAATGGCAGGTGTGTGTAATAAATCTGCTAAAAAATGCTCAAGAAAACAGAAACGTGCAGAACACAGGCTGATTAGAGATATGAATATCGAGAGCTCTGAAGAACCAACACAAGTGAATAAACGTTTATTTATACGATTGGTAATAGTAATCGTGTTATTTTACCGATTTTTAATGTATGAATTTTTTTTCCCATTAGAATCTAGCTATTTGCAACGTGGGCCTTGTGACTGGAGTCCAAAGAGAAATTTTAGAACAATTTATAGAGAGCACAGAATCGAATTTTCAATTGACCATGCCACCTGGGAGATCATATTGTTTCGTTAGTTTTTCTACCATTGAAAGTGCAAGTAGCTTTTACAACAAAGTTCATGGACAAATTAAAGTACCTGGCCAAAATACGGTTTTTTATCTGCTGTACATTAAAGCAAGTAAGTACGTTATTACCGCTATTTTTAATCTAATGTATTAAATAAATAATTCTAAACCTTATAGTTCCATGTATTAAGGAAAGCTTGGGTGCTCTGTTGCCTTCAGGGTTGAGGATATTAACAGAGTTTGTTTCTCCAAAACAGGAAGCTACGCTACTGAATAGTATTGACTGGGAGGAGGAAGAAGGCATCTATTGTTGTATTTTTATCATTTAGTATGCTTGACAGATGAAAAAGTAATAATTAATGTTTTCAGAAAACATGGAGTCAGAATTAAAACACAGAAGAGTCAAGCACTTTGGCTACAAGTTTAGATATGAAGATAATTTAGTGGATATTGACAATCCAATAACACCCATCCCCGAGGATTACAATTTTCTTCAAGATCTCTTTCAGAAACATGATTGCGGGTACTTTCAATATGATCAGTTGACTATCAATCGATACCTACCTGGCCAAGGTACCCTTCTCAATAAATATTCTATTCAATGCTCAACTTGATTAATTTATGTTTATCTCGATACTAAATTCAGTATTCAAAAGGAATACCACCTCACATTGATACTCACAGCATATTCAAAGATCCGATATTATCTCTATCATTGGGCTCGGCTTGCATAATGGACTTCAAGCGTGGAAAGGAAAAAGTATCTATTGATTTACCTGCCAGATCTTTGCTAGTCATGAGCGGCGAGTCGCGCTACGCTTGGAGCCACGGTATTTGCCCCAGACACAACGACAATGTTGAGACGGACAATGGCTTTTCCACGCGTCCACGAGGTACTCGCGTCTCATTCACTTTCCGAAAAACTCGCACAGGAGACTGTAACTGCCAGTACAGTGAGTACTGCAACACCAAGAAACAAAACAGTATACTAAAAGAAATTAAGATTGACGACGGTGCAGCTCTGGAAATTGAAAATTCTTACGTGCACGATGTGAGTTTGTCAATAATAGAAGTAATCAAACGAAAATTAAAATAAAACAAAGCATCTCGTTGTTTTCTCTGATGTAAGGTGTACGAAGAAATATCAAATCACTTCAGCGAAACTCGGCACAAGCAGTGGCCAAACGTGACAAAATTCATCGAGAGCTTGGAACTCGGCAGCCTCTTACTCGACGTTGGCTGTGGTAATGGAAAGTATTTGTGTGGTCAATCAAGTATCTTCAAGGTAGGTATTCTTTTTAGTTCATCATTTAATTTTCATCAACTCTAGCACTCCACAATAATGAGAATAATATAGTAATAATTTACAAGAAATGTTTCATATTATTTGTTTGATCGATTTCGTTTGACAATGTCAGAAAATGGTAATGTGCCTATTGCGCTCATCCACAGATGGGCTGCGATCGCAGTACAGGTCTCGCAGAGATATGTCGAACCAAGGGTTTTCAGATAGCATTGGCCAATTGCCTTCAACTTCCATTCAAGACAGACAGCCTAGATGCTGTGCTGTGCATCGCAGTCATTCACCACTTGTCAACACACGAAAGGCGAAAGCAAGCTGTTTCCGAGATCATGCGCGTCCTTAGACCCGCTCGAGGCAAAGCTCTCATTTACGTCTGGGCTAAGGAACAAAACAAAGATTCCGTCAAATCGACCTACCTCAAATCCAACACGAGCAAAAACAGCGAGGACGCTCGGCAACGCGAGATGCAATTCAAGACGTTGGAGAACAACGTGACTCTACCCGTACACGAGAACCGAACAGAGTTCATCCACAGCGATATGCTCGTACCGTGGAAACGAAAAGGCGGAGGTGACTTTTTGCGATACTACCATGTTTTTGAAAACGGCGAACTGGAAAGTCTCTGTTCCGACGTGCCGGCGGCGAATATTAAAAAATCGTACTACGATCAAGGAAACTGGTGCGTCGTGCTGGAAAAGATGTGCCAACTTAATTAGCGGATAGCTGATGCTCGATATTTCCGACGGAACGAGCATTTTGTTTTACAAGATTACAAATTTGTACATACGTGTGTAAATACATCAAAGTATACGAAAACAAATCGGCGTATTTTTTGAAAAGTTTATTTAATCCCTAAGAGATATACAAAACAAACGTTCTTGGTTTTTTTTTTTTTTTAACTAAGATATTTCCTAAAATAACACTGGAAATTATTAATTTTGTCATGAGCATCGATTTTCTTTATGTCGGTATTTATCGTTTATTATTTCTTTTTTTTTTTCATCAGTACAATTCATTTTTAACCAGCTATACTCGTTTAAAATTATGCACATCTGCAAATTAGTATTAAAACATTACAATTTCATATTTTACAGTATTCATCACCTTGAAGATGCCTCGTACTTTTTATTCCATCATTGTTATTGTTCTTACATGTTTTTGTAGTGTAGTAATCTTACAGATGTATGATTTCTTTTAATACTTATCATGTACTTGGGGGAGACGAAGAGCATAACGCTGAAAATGGTGGCTCAGTCAAAATGAGATACTTAATTTCTTCTCTTTATTGATAAAATTAAGAATTCCTTACTTTTTTTTTCTTTTTTTTCTTTTTACTAATACAATTCATTCCGAGTAATAAAGAAGCAACAAGTAACAATTTTTGCACATTAATTACTTTTACTCACATTTTCAATTAATAATCATCCTGGCAATAAAATCTTGAAGTTAATTATCAAGAGCTTGCAGCTCGTCAGCGTATCGTAGTTTGCTCTAATCGATGAGATTAGTTTAAAATCTGTACACACTAAGACCTAGGAATGTTAACATTACAGGAAACCACAATAGTTTATTTTATAATACAGCCTGCTGTACACCAAAATGATTTTTTCTTCTTAAATGTTTTTTTGTGTAGTGAGGCAGTGCGAAAAATCGACACACTACCTAGAATCGCTTTCGCCTTTGAAAAACGAATGACATTAATAAAGAGTGGTTGTTATAATTAAGAGGAAGTATTTATATAGAAGCTTGTTTATTTTTTTTTTAAGAAATATATTTATTGACAAAATGAATATTGTAAGGGAATATAACGATGGTAAAGGGCAGGGACCGATTTCTTCGTTCTGAATCAAACCTAGATAATACCTTACCTAGACAATAATCAAATCTTAGTTCCAACCGAATCAATATAATAAAAAAAAAAAAAAAAAAAAAAAAAAATTAAAAACGCAGTAATTACTGTGCATATTTTATCAAAATGAAGAGAAAGTAGTTACTCAAGGTGAACAACCATTGTTTATAATAATTTTCGTAAAAACAGACTTTGTTCGTTATCATTTTCTCTAGTCCCCGTTCCAACGATAAACAGCATATTACAATCGAGAGAAGTAGAATAACAATGATTCATGTAGCACGCATACTATGATCACCCTTTATAAATCTCATCATAATCATATTTTGTGTTCCATTATTTCTCTTTCTCTCGTTTTCTAACATCTGTGTAATACATTAATAAGAGTTAGATTCAATTTTTTTTTCAGCGCTACAACACTAACGCACGCCCATACAGCAAAAAATTTCGAAAGAATTTTCATTTTGATTCGAAGAAAGCAGTTTTTAGCTTCCTTACACTCTAGCTCTTTCGCTCAATTAAACCATTTGCTAAAAATAATTAAATACACGCGTCAGGGCTCAATCGCGCGCGTTGCAATTCATTCACATTTTTTGTTTCATTTAGACAAAGAAAATTGTATCATAAATGAAATAAGATAAACAATTCCCGAGAGATCGCTTGCTGTTTGTAACGCGCGTGATTGAGATCAAAGTCGTTGGTTAGACCCGTTTTGTTTGTCTCAGTGGTTTTACAACATCGATTATAAATTACACAGGTACAGCGAGGTGCAGCATACATAATGGCGGCACACGCCTGTTTTTGTCTAAACCAAGGAATCACAATTAAAAACAAAAAGTAAGAAATATTTCAAGAGAAAGTAAAGCCACCATCTCTCCCCACCTGCGCGATTCATTCGAAAAATCGATATCCGAGCCTGAGAAATAGTTAAAGATAAAGTATAACTGTACAAAATCGAGTAATTACAAAAAACTGCTTTATTTATGTATTTATTCGTTAATTCTTAATAAGTTATTTAAATCGCATACTACGCTGGCACCGAATGAACTGAACTGATAAAGTTCGGCAAGCGACTCTCCATTTTGAAATTGATTGGAGAACGCTTTGTTATAATTGTTCTTTTCATATTTTCATAAAGTACTAAATCAAAGTTTTTTTTTTATTTTTCATATTTGTTTGTCGCTTTTTTTTCAAACACAGAGTGGAGACAAAGTCAGCGATAATTGAGCCCCTGCGCCTTCCACCCCGAAAAAGACAGAAAAGTGGGCACCATCATCTCTCTCTCTCTCATTTTCTGTTCATTTTTTTTTTCTTAATCCTTTCTCTATCCTATGCCACTTTACATGTTTACTATCAATATGTTAAAATACAAATGTCACTCATACGAACTGTCAGGCAATTCACACACACATACAATTTTTTTTCTTTAAAATAATTATTATAACCGCGTTTTTTTTCTTTAATCATTATTGTGAACAGTCGGGGGACTGGTGGTTAGTTATTTGTTTTCCTAGTGGTGTAAGTACGCTCACGCTAAGGTCAATGGTATGTACAGTAGGTGAGGTATGCATCGGGATCAAGGACACGGGGTGATAGATGAAATTTTTGACGTGCGTCCGTTTTCTGTTACTCTCCTTGTTATTCGTCTTCCTCTTCCCACTCTTCCTCGCTTGCTTCTTTCTTGGCTACGACCGGCACACCAACTCCGGTGCCATCCTTCAACTTCTTTTTGTACGCAGTCATATCCTGTAATCACGAAAAACATTATTTGGTTAGTAAACGGTGTACTTTAAAATTAATGAAGCTAATGAGATTGCAAAGATGCCTACTCTTTCGTATCGAGCCTTATCCTTCTCAGCCATAGCCTCGTATTTGCTCTTGACTTCGGGAGCGGTGTCGGACCACCTCTTGCCAAGTTCCTTGGCAATTTCACCAACTCCGTACTCAGGGTTCAGCATTTTGACCTTTCCACGTTCGTCATTGCAGAACCAGAAGAATGCCGACCTGGACAAATTATAAAATAAATAATTTGTTAATGACACAATGAGTGCTAAAGGTTTACGTATTTCTCATTCCCCAATACTCACAAAGATCTCTTGGGTGCATTTGGATCCTTCATTTGCCTGCGTTTCTTGCCTCGGCCTGTCACTTTCTCGCCCTTGGGTGGAATGTAGCTCTGCATTTCGGTGTCGTATCTCTTCTTGTCTTTCTCGGCCATCTCGTGGAAACGCTTCTTTTCCTTATCATTCATGGTCTGTGAACAATTGAATAACCCATTGTGACGGTCGGGACGACAGAGGCAACTTTTGGATTTGAAAATACAATATTGGAATTGAAAATATTGGGTTTTTTAATTATTAATATACCGATATCCCTAAAAGTGGTCCCTACTTGCGTTCGTTAGGGGCTTACTTAAAAAACAATTACTCATGTTTTGCAAAATTTTGGAGCCATGATTTTCCTGCTGTTGCCGCTTTAAACGCAAGGATAGCCATCAGCAGCGTAAGGGGAGCCCCAGTATGGGACGGGGAAGGAGGAGGCAAGCATAAAGTCGCGTATTGATCGTACGGGAGGGAGGAGAAGAGGAAAAAGTGTGTTGGTGTGCGTGTATAAAAGGAGGGAGAGGAGGACTCCCCTGTTTTTAGAAGGATGTATCAATTTTCATCCGTGGTAGCGAACGGGAAAGACCGGCACCCACCCAGTGGTTTACCTCAAACGCGTGTGCACCATGTACATGTACGGGGGAGCACAACCGGTATAAACATTGGAGATAAGATTGACGTAGAAAAACAAAGGCAAAAACAATAGTTCTACGAGGGCGCAAGAAAAAAAAGAGGCCCTTACGGTCACTTGCTACTAGGACCCGGAATACAACAATACCGGCAACTGTCGTTTTTTGCCATCGCCGGCTGGGTTTTCAACTTGCAAAATAGGTGTACACGCGGGCAGCATATTCGAAAACGCAGGTGCATGTTTGTATATGTATACGCGCAACAGAAGACATACTTTGCCGTTCAAGGGAGACGCAACCGAAAGAAGAAAGAAGAAGAAGGGAGGAGGAATTTTTCATGTTTAAAAAAACAAAAAGGGTCCCTGGTGTACAGTTGAAAGAGAAAAGGGAGAGAGAGAGAGGAAAGAAAGCCGGTAATGGCGCACGAGGGGAGGCGTTCCGGTCGAAGGGCGAGCTTATATCATACGCCAGCGAGAAAGAGGGGAACGACGACGGCGACTGTACATATATATACAAGCGCAGGGGTTGGTCGATAGCTCGGGCTATTGGCTCGTTCCGTCCCTTCCTCCCCACCCTCGTTTTCTCTGCCTTGCTATATTGTACTCCCCTTAAACCTAACCCACTTTTACTTTTTTTTATTTTTCTACGAGGATTCCTGTTCTCCTAATTTACCATGGCTAATCATCCCTGGGATCTCGATTGTTTTCTTTTAGCATTTTCAATTTTCCACACTCCATCGAGGGAGTGAAGCTGACAGGTATTTTGGCTCTAATACTTATCAACACTTTCGAAACCGGCACTCTCGCACAACCGGTAATAAAGGAAAAATCAAATGTTCATATTTGTACATTTTTTTTTGTCATTTGATAATCCCTGTACACACACGCACCTGCGTCAAAAGAAAAAACGGATAAATTTTGAAAAATAAGATGAGACATCGCTACTTCTTGTCTTAACGAGGGTGGGCCGACTCGGTTGAATTTCAGCAGAAGGGGGTTAGAGGGCGAGGGGCATCGGTTCTACTTATGGAACGAATTCTCATTGTTTTCCAATAGCGCGCTAAATTTAAAAAGCGCGAGCGAAGGAAACTTGATTAAATTGGGATTCAGAACGTCGACAAGCCGGCGAGAGTGTATATTTCGAGAATTTTGCAAAATTAAGGCGCCGAGTGCACTTGACATTCTCGAGTGCTGGGTACAGATATAGCCCGTCGTGTCTCTTAAGCCCGCGAGCTTAATTTACTCCCATGCATGTAACGATGTAATTTCTTGAACACCAAATTAAAATTTCTACGCGAGGTTTTCGAGTGCTCGTCAAAATTGAAGTCACGTGACGCAAGACACGACCCCCGAGCTCCGAAGTAATGACAATCAACAAATGACCAGTACTACTGGTAACTATTAATTTTCCGTTCGAATTTTGAGCGCAATTTTTGCGTCCAGCTTCCAATGCCCCGAGCCTTGCGTTACGCACACGTCACCCCCACCTCCCACACACATGCGCGCGCATGTCCAAACACCCACAGACGCACGAGCTGGCAAATCTTTTTTTTTTTTGGATCGCGCCGTGTTTTTTTCCCACCCCTCCTGGCCCGAGAGAATCGAACGTGATCAATCTCTCACGTGCCCCGGCGCGCATATCCGGAGGGAAACGTGCGCGCCAAATGCTACACACTCCGCTTGTGTATTGTGTTAATTGTCAATTAGCTGCGTCAGCTGGGAGAGGATTGTTAATTTCGCTCGCGTGAGTTGTAATACCTGCTTGGAGTTGTTGCGAAATGGCTCTGACGTTGACCGATTCCGAATCATACAGGGACGCAAACTAAAACTTGTCGCGGTACACTTTTGATGGGGATAACTACTTGTTTGTAGTTTTGAAGAAATTTAATGAAAAACTAATAACTCGAGAGTACAAGAAATGATGTTCCGGGAAAGACAAAAACGACATCAAAAGTATTGTATTTACGAAAATTCGCGAGCGACCCTGTAATTCATTATTTTCCCATTCCTATGCGTTTATTGTCGGAAGTCGTAGGTATATATTATGTGCATATGGCAAAAGTAACGCGAATATTGTAGCGAGCGATCGGCTAGAAGAGCAATCGAACATGTATATGTGTGATATACACATATATGTCCATACAGCACACGCTGGTGTTCATTTCGTTATTCGAGGGGGTACACCCCACTCGCGCTGCTCTTAAGGTCGATAGCATACACTTGAGGAGAATCCTTTGCACGTGTTGTTGCTACACGTATTGGTTTGTATGCATGCATACATACATACATACTCGTGCGACAATCCGTACACGTGTGTGATTTTCTCTCTCCCTCGATCTCATCTGCCGGTGCAGTCAATGGAACTATATATATAGATATATATATATATATATGCTCTTGTAAGTCGAAGCTGGTTGCTCTCTGAGGACACGGACACGTGGATAGCGTGCGAAAGTCGAGTTTTTTACGCGCGCGCACTGCGACACCGGGAATGGAAAAAGTGAATCATCCCGATTATCCCGTTGCTGATGAACGGAGTTTTAGCTGGTGATTTTCATACGAACTTTCGCCAACTACATTTTGGGGGAGGGATTGCAAGTGCCTCGATCGAATATTCACGCTCGTCCGATAGATATTGGCTTTTACGTGGGATTATTGCGTCTAGTTTGCATTGATTACGGCATGCAGTGTACGAGAGTTTTTCGAATTCTCAGACTCTATTGAATGAACATCGGTCACCGATAGGCTTGTTAAAACTTTTCGGGATGTCAAACGTATAATAAAAAAAAGGAATTTTTTTTTTCTATTTCTGGTGCGTAAGAGATAACATGGAAATCCCAGAAGAAATGTTTTTTTCTCTTAATTCCCATGGTAATTTCTAAAGTAAAAAAAGACTTTGGAAAGAGTATGGAATTTTTTGTTATAACGTAAGCCTTGAGTTATAAATCATTTTCATAAAATATTTTACTTCAGCTTCAAAAGTTACTATTTCCCATTTAAAACGGCCGGTTAATAGGGACACCACATAACTCTTAAAAAAAATGAAGGGGACCCATAAAATCTACTAATCAATATTTTGTTGGTCTTAGGAAAAAAAAAACAAAAAAAAAACCGCGTCGATAGCGAAAAACGAAGCCAATCGTTAAGGGGCAAGGAGAAAAAACAAGATTGTAAAATAAAGAGAAGTAAACTCACCTTCCACCTAGCGGCGCACTTTTTGGAGAATTCCTGGAAGACGATGTTCTCATCGGGATGCTTCTTCTTGTGTTCCTGACGGCAGATCTGAACGAAGAAAGCATACGCCGTCATGCGCCCCCTCGGCTTGGTTGACTTCAATGCCTTGTTCTGATGTAAGATCGCATTATTTTGTTGTAGGTTATTTTGATGGTGCTGCAACTGCTGTAGCTGATGCTGTACGGAAAAAAAAATCGAGAAGCCAGATCCACATGGTGTTAATGCGCATCAATGTATCACAGGGTACAAGAGAAAAGCTCAATCGCGATATACACTCACACATTGTGTCTGTTGGGATGCGTGTCTTTCTTTTTCCTGGCGTTACTTATTAATGTTACTTAAGTCTATTATTTTTAAAAAGGCAAGAGGGTGAGGTCACGGAAGCGCCGCTGCTTTGTTACATCGACGGGATGCATAGAAAGCTCTTGCGCAACTTGCCGGGACTTTTATCTCGGGTCAAAACTGCTGTATTTGTTCAAACGATAACCTCCTCGGACTCTTATTTCTGGCCAAGAAGAGGGTAGGTGAAAACTAAACTGGATTTTTTTTCTTTTTTTTTCCCTGTGAGAGCAATAGAGTGTATCAGGTACATTGACCCCCTCGTTGAAATACAAATAATATAAGAATAATAATAATAAAAATTTACTCGGAAACTAAGTTCGTTCAACTCGGCAGTTTGCGCCCGAGCCCGAAAATAATTTGGGGCTTGATTTATGGCGGGGCATCTTTTACTGCCTGTTTACCGACAGGCAGCACTTGAATTAACCCGACTCGCACATAGCCCTGGAATGAAAGTGCCTACATCGAGTGTTTCTCCAGGCACGGAAGACTTACGAGAGATTAGTAGCAATTGAGAGACGAGAAAGAAAAAACATTTAACGTGATTGCGTAATGCGATAATTAAAACGCATTGTTGAATTTAATTGCGAGCGGCACAAAGGGAGCCTCGTGCACATACGCGCGGGCTGAAACGTAAAATGTACCGTAACCGGCCCAGGGGATTCTGTAAAGAACAACGAAGCACTTTTTCGGAAGAATGCCGCGATCATTTGGGGTTTCAAAATAATAGAACACATTTTGGTTGGTTAAAAAAAAAAAAAAACTGCTTTACTTTTTCTATTTCTGAGGTAAGAATAAAAAAAAAGGTAATTAAACTTAAGGAGAAAGATACGAGTCACGAGATTCGTTGGTGAAGAATTACTTTTTTATGTTTGTTTTTGAAACACATAGACAATTAAATCAAGTTTCCGAAGAAAAAGGTGAACGAAGCGACATAGCAGAGGGGAAAAAAAAAGAAAGGCTCTTGAAGCGCCGTAACCTTCGGAAACGGGCCAATTAAGATGTATACGAACGCGCGACGAGAGTCACTGACACCGTTGGTGATTAAACTTATATAAAAAAAGCGTCGACGAAAAAAAAAAAAAAAAATTCCAGCCTACCCGTTCCTTCAAACGGGAAATTCGGAACATCTTTCGGCTTTTTAATTGACAGGCGTGGTTGATCTAAAAGCAAAACGTCAAGTGATTTACGTGATGAATATATTTTTTTCTTTGAGATTTTACCGGTACTGAAACGAAGATCTATTAGATATCCGAGCTATCAATATTTTTCGATTAGATAATAGTGTTTATCGCTCAAACACAAATAACGCGTTTCAATCGATCTCCGGGGAGAGAAAAATCGAATTTCAAAACAGAGCACTTTAATTATTTTTAATTAACGCCCGGAACCCGGTAGAAAAACAATCAGCCACGCTCCTTGGTCGCCCCTCCGCCCATGTATACATCGAGGGAAAAAAAAAAAATTACGTGACTTCAAAAATAAGAAGGGAGAGAGGACAAGGGGAGAAGGTAGCGTAATAAAAAAATCGCGGCTCCGAAAAAGCGGGCGAGAGAGAGAGAGAGAAACGAAAGACGAAGCAGAAGAAGAAGGGAAGGAAGAGGAGAGGCGCACACTGGGAAACGAAAGCGGGAGCCTAGCGCGAAGTAGAATCAATAGCCGGAGCCAGCCAGCTAGAGCACCAGCGGCACACATCGACACCGCTTTTCCCTAATATTATGCAGTGCGGGTACCAAGCTGGTAACCAACTCGGAATATGTATATGTATAAATTGTAGCAGCGGGTACGCGTACTTGTTTAGTTGTAGAATTAAACGAGCTAACGAACGAACGAAGGGGGGAGGAAACAAAAATGAGGAAACACGCGCGAATCGCGAAAGATCGTTTGCCGTGCGTAGGAGAGTGGAACGCGCTAGATACGGAAGGTGGTTGTGTACGGTTCGAGTCTACGTTGACGGCAGTATTTTTCTTAGGAGAAATAAAAAACAAAACAAAGCACTTCTCGATAAAAAGTTGATGCACGTTATCTCCTAAAGGGTATTTTGAACTGAAACAATTACCCGTCAAATCGATAATTAAAAATTTCAAAATTTAAAATTGTAGACAAAACCAGTAAATAAATTTTTGAAAAATGTAAACATAAACAAACGTTGCGAGAAGAAAGCCGGTAAGTGTTCACAATAACACCGAGTCTCAACGAGGGAAAACGCAAAGGGGCAAAGCTATTATTTAACTCGGATTTTCACAAGGATTGCGACACATTGAAAGGTAAACGGTTCAGTTATTGACACCTTAAGGTAGTGATTGACCCCTGTATAATTTGTATATCCATATATAAAGGCTCCATTTAAAAATGCATGTGGCGGTCAATCACTATCGGGGGGTCAACAACTGTACCGTTTACCCCTACGCGTCGCGTACATCTTTTTTTACGCAGCGAGGGGGGAAATACTGTCAAGGGGAAAAAAGGGAGCAACACAAGTAGGCAAGTCGTTAGGGACGAAAAATCGCGCGGCAAAGGAAATAAAAAAAAAAAAGGAACTACTAGGAAAAGATACGATATTCGACATGGCGAGTGTATATAGCACGGAGCAGGCGAGCAACGCGCGCGAGCAGAGGCCCGCAGTACAAAATGGACGGGAAAGAGAGCCCAGCCAGTCACCGATATACGTACACATGCAGCGCACGGGGCCGCACACGTATTATATACGTACCGAAAAACACATTCACACAAACTATATCTATATGTATGTATTATATATATAAGTAACTAAGCGGCCGCGTGAAAGTTGTAAGTCCAAGAGAGGAGCGCACGAATTTTTTCGTTTCGGGCCAGCTACATCACGCGTTGTTGTGTACCGCGGCCCACTGGATTTAAAATTTATTTTTCATTATTTATCACGCTTCGCGAATCTTTTGAATTAATTGCAGATATCTAACAATGGGTGAGTGCAAATAATTTGGGATGCGACATGAAACAGGAATTTGAGATCGTTTCTTACGATATTTCTCGGAGGCTCAAGTTCGAGTCTACTACATCGTGGGTAACCGGAAGCTATACATGGCTTTCATAAACAAATAGAGGGAGCTCGTTGTTTCATGGGTTCAATGTTTTTTGACCTCTACCCTTCAAAACATCGTCTCTGTAGACAATAACATTGGTTTGCACCACAAAAATCCTGTTATTTGAAGAATTACCGGAAACTTTATGTTAATACATAAGTGCAACACTAAATTTCCAATAAATAAAGATCATGAATTGTTGTGGAGCAATAACTATACAACAATTTTTTTTTGCGTTAACAAAATATGAAATAGGTATCACACAAGATTGCTGAGTTCAGAAAACTAATAAAATTCAATATGATTCGGCATAAGTCATATTCAGGTTGTTTCACAGGGTAAAAAAATTACGTAAATTAAATTTATTGAAAAATCAATGAGATTTACGCGAGAAGTATGGCTTAATGGTAAAAAAAGATGTTAATATGTTTTTGAGGTGGCGGAGTGGCGACTAAGCGTCAGAGGCTTGAATGAAATTCATTTCAAAATTCTTGCACATCGCAAAACGGAAGGAACGAACGAATTTAAAATGAAGAAAAGAAAAAAAAAAGGCACGCGATGAGCCGGTGGTGGCCGATGCTTCTGCTGCTCTGAGTCACCGAAACAATAGTGGTGAGTTAAAAAAAATAATTATCATTCAGTGCAGATACACACCATAGTAAAACTGTTATACCCACTGACGGTTTAGTCAATGCAAAAAAATAAAATAAAAAAAAAATAAAATTTTTTTTGAATAATCGTAACAGAACAAACATTTGTTGATGTCATGGGTATACACTTATCGTTGTATATAAGCCAGTTGACCGTAGATTGTGTTATGCACACGCATCAAACACTTGTGTATCCACCGCATGTGTAAGTACCTATATCGATGTACAGCGCAAACGTCGCAAATAGTACTTATAAGAGAAAGAGAGAGTCATATAGGAAGATGTGTACTCTCGGCAATACAACAGCCGGCATCCACGTGCGTGTCAGCGTCAGCACGCAATTGCTCGTTTTTGCCGATATGGATGGAAATACATACAACGCACCGGGAGACTGCAGCTTATGTACAATTAAATAAAACAAATAAGATATACAAGGGAGCAAAAAATAAACTAGTCTTAGGTAAGAGGATGAAGAATAATAATAATGTTGTTGGTGGTGGTGGTGGCGAGACAAACGGGATGAACCAAAAGAAGGAAAGACACGTTCGCCGACCAGGTGGTGTGGTAGTGGTGTGCATCGTCGTGTGGTCTCTGATCACCATATAGGTATCCACGTATACATATGTCGATATGTATTATATACGGAAGACAACGTTACTTATACCATAGAACTAGCTCTGTTTGCAGGCGAAACATACAGAGTGTATAAAAACTATTAAACGAGAATATAATAAGTGATCACACAATCATCCGAACACATGGACGTTGCACCACACATACACACACAGATTAAAAAAAATAAATAAATAAATAAATAAATGAAAAAAAAAGCAAATAATAATAATTAAAATGTTTGTGTGGGATGTAGTACGCATGAACTATCTGACCAAGTAACAACTATATAGACCGAGTCGTCGACTACTCGAGAGTTGACTAACCGGCGAGAGTATCTGGGGCGTCGAGGTCTGCGTGGTTATGGACGATAGATGCTGTCCCTGCTGGAGTTGCTGTTGGTGTAGATTGTTTTGCTGGTCCATCATCTGGCTGGGATACCACCATTGGACGCCGGCTGGACCAGAAGACGCGCTAACGGGCACTCCGGTCCTGTAGTCGTAGCCTTTCATGGCGACTGGGCTGCTGCTCGAAACGGGACTACTTTGTGTACCCGTCGTCGCCGGGTTCTGGAAGCTGGAGGCCATCTTGTAGGAGAACAATTGCTGCGTAGCCGCGGCTGTACTCCTGACGATGTCCTGCTGGTGTTGGCTGAGCTGCTGTTGAGCCGCCGCCTGCTGATTGAGCAGGTGCTGGTGGAGGCTCTGCTGCTGCTGTGCCTGCTGCTGTTGGGCAGCTGCGACCGCGGCTGCCTGCTGCTGAGCCGCGACTTGCTGCTGCTGCTGTTGTTGTTGCTGCTGCTGGTCGCTAAGGTTGGGCCACCACGGGTTCGCCGCGGCGGCACCGGCCGAGCCGTCCTCCCGGCCTCCGGGGCTGGCCGTGGCCCAGCCGCCGGCTACGCGGTGGTGCTCGGACATGATGCAGTGTGTCGTCGAGCGGAGGCGCCGTCTAGTGTCGTCGGCTGCCCGTTGTGTCGTCGCCGCGCTCTCTCTCTCTCTTTCTCTCGCACTCGCTTACCGAGCGCTGCTTGCTTGCTGCTACCGTAGCCTGTAGTAGTACTTGCTGGTGCTGCTGCTCTCCTCTTCGACGGTGGCGGAGGCTGCTGCTGCTGCTCCCTGGCTATGGCGGGCTCTTGGCGCACGCCTAGACTTTTCTCTCTCTCTGCTTAGCTGCCGCGGTCTGTCGGAGTCTCACTACTACTCACTACCTCGGTATACGTACTACGCACGGATCTACTGGTGTATCTATACAATACACATACACACAGCAGCTGCGTGTGCTCTCTCTTGGCCTTCTCTTTGCTCCTTTTCGCACACCACCACTATTACCAACCGTACCGCTGTACTAGTCTTTTCCTCTATATGCTCGGCTCTCGGTGAATACGCACACGCGGCGTCGTCGCATCCGGCCGGGTAGGCCTCCTCCTTGTCGTCGTTCTCTTCTCTGTGTAGCTTCGTTTTTTTTTTTGCTTGTTATCACTCTTGTTGAAAAATTTTACCAAAAAAAATAAAAAAATTCTTTACTTGGCCAGGTCGTACCTGGCACGCCCCGCACTCACGCACTGTTGGTCAAATCAGCAACAACAATAACAATAACAACACCTCAAGGACAACGAGCACGACGACGACGGCTACGTTGTACTAGGAGAAGAGGGCCACACGCGCGCACAGGCGCGCAACTTCTCGGCTTTGTGTAGTGTTATAACTGGCTATATGCTGCCCTTCGTCGGTGATCGCGCGCGCGCGTAGTGTGCCGAGAGAGAGCTGCTGCTGCTACTCGCAGTAGCGGCGGCGGCGATGGTGTTGGTGGTGGTAGAGAGCGCCCGGATCGTACTGCTGCTGCCTCTCTCTCTCCCTCTCCCCCGCCGCTCGCTGCCTCTCTCCTTCTCCCCCTGCTGGCGGCCAGCCGCGTTCCTTATTCTCTCTCTTTCGCGGGAGTTGTTGCGTTTTTCAACAACAATCTTCAACCATTGCTCCGCTTTAGACTCTTGTTACTTTCATAAACAATATTCAAACGGAGCACAACACCAACAGAGGTTACACTCGTTTTGAGTGAAATCGAAAGATGTGCCTTCTCTGTGTGCTTCAACTTTTTGCTCCTCCACCTTTTTTCTCCTCGTGCACGCGCGCAATCACGCTACTTTTGTAGCACAGCACGAGGGACACACGCACTGTAGGGGCTGGTGCATATGCGCGCGTGTATTATTACTTTAAAGACACGAGAGAGAGAGCATGGAAAAGATGGTTATACACCTATAACTATACGAACAAGTTAAGTAGTAGCGATAGGGAGAGAAAAAGAGGAAGATGAGAAAAGAGAGAAAAAAAAAAAAAAAAAACACGGACACCAATACACTGTCAAGCCACTAAGTGGCGCGCGACACACAACACACACACGTGTAAAACGTGTGTATATGTATATGCACAAACGCACGACAGAAAATATATGTTGATGCTGCTCTGTGTCCCAGGTATACAGTAGTTAGATAGGTATACAATTCTTTGGGGGGCTGCGTTTATGTACGTGGTTTGGCTGTGCCGTGGTATATATACACGAGAGGATAGCCAGCACGCGCGCAAGCGAGAGAAAATGTCGGCGCGCCGTGCCTTTACCTACGTACAACGTACGTTGTTAAAGGAAAAAGAAAAAGAGAGAGAGAGAGAGAGAAGGGGGCTGCTTCTCTCGTCGTCTTCGATGCTGATGCCTTGTGTTTTCTTCTCTCTCTTTTCCACGTATGTACGTGCACACACAAACGTTGAACGTGTATGCGTTCAACTCGATATCTCCGTCTCTTTCTGTCGTCCTCGTACAGGCAGATGAGGCAAAGCGGCTTTGTGTAACAACGTTGGAACTACGGCTGGCTTGGCTACGCCGTTGAGAGCGAGCAAGCAAGCGGGCAGGCCGTTCGTTAGTAGCCCCTACCCGCCTTTTGTTTCTCTCTCTTTCTCGCTTTTGTCAATGCGCCTGTGTGTGTGTGTGCGCGCGTTATTCGAGCGAGAGGGGGGGATGCAAAAGGGGAGCCAAAGCTGCCGTTCTCTTCCCCTCGCTCTCTTTCTCGCGCGTTCGAGCCCCTCGACCTTCCCCCACCTATCTTTTCGCGCTCTCTTTCTCTTGCGTGCCCACGAGGAGATGAGGGGTGAAGTATACACACACACGCGAGCCTCTCTCTCTCTTTCTCTCTTGCTTCGTTTTTCTGTGTGAGTGAGTGTTGTGTGCGCGCCTGCGCTCCGCTTCTATTTTATATATATACTTTCACCCCGCGTCACTCCCTCGCGCTTGCTGCTGCTCGGCGTTCTTTCGCGCTCTCTGTGCCTCCCTCGTTCGCTCATTTTTCCGCGCATGCTACGAACGCCATGCCTTCACAGCGGGGTCTGATCGTTCGACCCTCTCTCATCATGCTGCATTCATGCAAAAAACGGGCAATCAAGAGGAGTAAGACTTTCGTCAAGGGCCAAAGGGAAAATTGGGAAAATTTCTTCCTTGGCTGCCTTAACTTTTCGGAGCAGTGCAGTTATTGTCGAAATCATCCGGTTTTTATCGATTTCACCCGGACTCGTGATCAATGAACCGGCGGGGGTGTCGTTCCATCGCTGACTAGACACCATCCCTAATTTCTCATTTCTTTCCCACTCAAAAGTGTCGAGATACCAGTTTTCTTTTAACACAAACTGTAGATTGGGGATGAGGACCATTTCCGGGTTCATTTTTCCATCCAACCCGGTTATTCTTGCTAGCCATCAAAACCGGCCAACGATAAATTTACAGGTGCAATGGCATATGGGTACAAAAAAAATTTACTTTCGGCCCACAGATGAACACCTACGTATATAGGTATAGGATTGTATTAACGGCTTTTCCACAACGGCGGTGGTGGTGCCGGAGGCCCCCCGAAGAAACGGAGAACCGCTGAGCTTCGGCAATAACGCTCTCCTCCTCCTCTTCGTCCTCGTCGTTCGTTTTTCTCCCCTCGGGTCCTCTCTCTCTCTCTCTCTCTGCCCCCTTGTATAATAATAAAAGAGAGGATCGGAGCGAACGCGCACGCACACACACGGGGAATCGTTGCGGCGTCGGTTTCCCCATTGCTTTTCGTGTGTGTGTGTTCCCGCGCGTCCATCTCTCTCGCTCCTAATGGGCAGCGTTGCCGAGCAGCGAAACCAGCCAGCCGTTCACAAAAGAGAAGTCGCCCGGTTCGACCAATCGGCCGGCCGGGTGAACCTCGCCGCGATGGCGGGAGAACGTCCGAACGTACGGCGAGGCAACGCTGCCACCGTAACTGCTTTCGACGCTATGACTGTATATGTTTTCCTCCCATATGCATGTGTGTGTTTTCTTTTTTCTGTTCTTCATACTCTTTTGGAATTGCCGCCAATGCTGTTACTATAATTATGTTATGTATATGCGTCAACACCAAAAACCATCCCTTTAACTAACTGTGAGGTTGCCCAAATGGATGAGTTCAAGTTGAGTTTGTTTTTTCAATGGTATAGTGTCACTTGTATCGAGCAGTCGATTGACTCAATTTTTCGTTGTAACAAAAAAAAAAAACTTTTTTTTCTCAAGTGTACGCACGTTGCGCACGAGAGCACCGGCAGAGAACGGAGGGAGCCCTTCTCTACCCTTGAAACTCGAGGTCAACGTTTAGGCGTGAGCGCGCGCGTTCCGGCGAAATGGGCCGATCGCAAAACAAAATAAATTTACCGATTTCATGATGGATGCCCTGGCTCAATATTGTTTTTTCTTTTTCATTTTTTGTTTAGCGCGTACAGATGAAGTTGAAACAACGTGCGATAAGAGTCATCCCGCTGAAACCATAGTACGTAGGTGCCAGCTGTCGCGTGTGATGCTTGGGCAGTTTTCCCGCGCGTTTTTCAAGCGCAACTTGATGGCTCGGCTCAAGTATTATATATACCCGTGGGCACGTATACAAGGAAAAAAATGAGCGCCCTGTACGTAGGACGTAAAAAGATTGTGTATATCGTACAAAAAATTTCACTGGTACACGTGTGAGCAGTGAGCGTTGCTGGTGTATACACACGTAAAACATACGCCTTCGTTTCCCCGATCTGCCAAGGTGCATCTCTTTGTGCCTATATCCCTTTGTTTTCGAGAAATTCCTTTCAAGAATGAATTCCTCCTGCCACTCGATTTTCTCTACGTCTTTTCATCTCGTCTTTCTCTTGCTGCTCTTCTTCTCCGGCGTTTTTGGTGTTTTTCCATGTGCCCGTAGGTCGAAGATGGAGTATTTTTCCTGCGTGTACAAGTGGTTCCATAAAAAAAGTTCAGTTGGGAGTCTTTCACGATTCAGAAAAAAAAAAATTTTTCCGAAGCGCACCTTGAAATAACTAAGGTGTGTGACACTTGTTAGTAGAATCGGTTCCACTGTATAACATTTTGAGCTGATATGTAACAATTTTTTGGATTCTTTCATCTTTTAATTCGGGTGCTGGAAAAAAATTAATCACCCGGAAATACGTGCACGCACATCTTACGAAATGATTGCAAATAAGTGCGCCACAAATTTTTTTGTTCTTAGGGACACGAAGGAAAAACGTATGTATACTCTTGTCAAATAGTGTGTACCAACGACACAATTTTGGTTTTTATTTCAATTTAAATCAAGACTCCGACATAGCGTGTTTTTTTCACGTAATTGTCCACATACGCTTAGACCACGTCAGCGCGCGGAGCTTAAGAAAAGAGAAAGAGGAAAGGAACAACGCAAACACTATATTGCGCAATTCGCGGCTCGCTTATGCAATCTTTTTTGCACATACATTTCAAACGCATCCAACTTTTTGTCAAGCTCACTTTTTTTCATTGTTTCACGCACACGCGTAATGTCAATGTGAAGCGAGGCCTATCTTTTTCTTGTACCAGTATGCGATGCCGCTGAAGGCACACACATTCCTCGATACGGAAAACTGGTTTTATTTTTCGATCGTAAGGATAAGGGGGGAGTGATGATGAAAAGTCCAACGATACCTGGACGTATAATTAAAAAAAAAAAAAGGGGGGGGGGGGTATAAGCGAGTTAGAAGAGAAAGACAGTACACGAGTGAGTGGGTGCGGGCTAAGAGAAGCCGAAGACGCAGCGCTTTATCTATTTTTGCCATTAAACGTCAAGAGAAAGAGAGTAAATAAACAAGCTGTAGAGGAGACGACAAGTACACACGATATAGGTAAACGTGGATAATTATATACTAGCCGCGCGAATTTATTTTGGAGTCGCACTTTCCAAATGCGAAAGAAATGAAACGCATATCCTCCTCCTCCTCTGTCAATTCCTTCTTCTTTTTTTTTTTTTTTTTCTAAAATAGCTTTCTATTATTTTTCTTCAAGTGCAAAACACATTTTTTTTTCAATTTTACAATAACAATAATCACGATGATGATGATGATGATAATGATGATACCAAAGTGGATAAAAGAGCCTCCTCTCCGACCTTCCTCCTCTCTGTACGTACCCTCATCTAGCTGATAACCGCGAATTGCGTACAATACACACGCACACGCGCGTGGTATGTACGTACACAACCCGCACACCTACCCACACATTGTATGGTAATACGTGTGGTTGCGCGTGTGTGCGCGAGGCAGTACGGAGAGCGGCGAATCGAAGCTCGATGAGAAGAAAGAGAGAGAGAGAGAGAGGAAAAAAGAGACGAGGCGAGAACCGGGTTCAGGTCAATAAGACCTCGTGAGGGAGAACGAGAAGGAGAGAGTCAATTGCAGAGAGCCGACGCGAGGGCCGGGTGCGCGTGCAAGCGAGACGAGGAGAAAAAGAGAGAGAGAGAGAGAGAAGTCTGCTGCTCGAGCTCACATTCCCAGGGTTAGGCCAGCCAGCCGAACGGTGGGTAGTGTTGGTGATGGAGGAGGTGGTGGTGGTGGTGGTGGCGCGAGAGACCGCCTAACGAACGAACGAATCGAACGCAGGATGGGAGCGAGAGACGGGCGGAGAAAATTGGAGGGGAGGAGAGAACGAGGGAAAAGGGCGAGGGGAGAGTATTATATTATATATCGCGGGTAAAAAGCTCCGACGG